AGGAAACGCAATTTTATGCTTGGGATGGTTTTTTATTCAGTCAATTTTCGCCGATCGTAATAGCAGTTTTGAGCAAAAAAATAAAAAATTTCATTGAAGATATCGACTTCTGGACTGTGAATATAGACCATTTGGTTGCAATTAGATCCAATGGAAACAAAAATTGACAATTTTGTCAAAAAGTGTTGATGCGCAGTTCATTACACTTAAAAGTCTCGATCCAGGTAATTCCACGGAAATACGGAAATTGTGAAAAAAAAGATGAAAAAATGTCCGGAGATTCTTCTATCTACATAATGGACAGAAAAAGTTTTTTAATCAGACAGGTTTATAATCAATCAGAAATATAGAATTGTTTAAACCAGATTTTGATAATCCTTTGCTGAATCAATTGATTAAGTGCAATCATTGAAAAAATTTTATTAATTTTTTTAAATAATGCTAAACACAATGATTTCAAGTAATTTAAAGAAACTACTTTGTTGAATAATTAGTGATAACTTTGAGTTTCACACATCAAATATATCCTTCAAATTTATTGTTCCGACTTTCGATACGAAAGTAACGGAATATTTGTGCTCGGGGTGGGTTTTTTTTTCTTCAGACAAATTTCGACTTTTTAACTAGCCATTTTTGACAGGACTTTTTTTACATCATTCCAAAAGTATTGTTGTCTTGAACTTAAATTTGAAAAAAAATCACTTGTGATCTTTTTTTGTAAGGTTACGGGGTTTAAAGATAGCCATTTTGGCCAATTTCGGACAATTAATGCGCGATATATTTCGATCTATTGACGCGTAAACGGAGATTTAATCCGTCTTAGAAATTTTTCCAAACTGGCTGAAGAGAGCTTTTGTGCATGAATGATTTGTTACTAGGAGCGAAATCCGTCACTTTGTACTTAATATGGAGTGTGGGGGGGGTAGTTTTTGCAAAAATCTCAATTTAAAAAAAATATATTTTATTTTTTTTACATTTAACTTTTCATGTTAAAATATAGACAGAACATTCAGGGCCTCGCTCTGATACGAGCAGTCTTATTTTTTTTGCTGAGATTTTTGGGACCATTTTGAAATGAAGTTTAAGAACGTTGTTTTTTCCTGTAGTCATCAAAAAAGACTAGTCGTGCCATTTCCAAAACTCTTTTTTGATAAATCGATAAATACGATTAGAATATATCAATAACTTCTTTTATGTTTTTTTGAAAACAGAACTGCTCAATTAATTAGTGTAACCCAAGCAGACCAAATTACCCTCTCTTTTGAATTTTTGGAGTCTGTTGGTCACGTGATTTCAAATTTCTAGGTCTCAATTCAGTGTTTTTGCAATATATCGGAAAAATTATCTTCAGTCAGAAATTCGTATTTCCATTCTTTAATGCTCTTGAGGCATGTTTTTGACCAATGTCAATAGATAAAGTATGAATTGAAGAACAAAAGAATCTTTGGACTGCTTGCAATGATAAAAACAGGGGAAAAATTTCATCTCTACACTCTAGGATTTACACCCTGATTCCACAATGACTCCACTTCGGGGGAATTAACTGTTTCTCATTACTTTATATGTTATTGTATAGTTGATGCCAAATTGTTAACAATATGTTTTCGGTCGACGAATGCCAAATTGTTGGCCATAATTTTTCCGTCAACAATTTCGAACCAAATTAGTTAACGTTTCACGTCGGACTTTGCTTTTTGCCGATTCCCACACGTAAAACCGTTATCCACAAAACTGATTAGCCTCAAATGTCAAATATTAGAGTTTTTGACCCAATAAATTGTTCAAGGCCACCACTACCAATACTTTGGCATTAAATATATTTAAAAAAATATCATCTTCTCACTTTTTCAAAACTTTTTAATGCCATCTTCGTTTGCATTATAAAAATTCCAGAAAGAGTCCAAAATTTAGGTGGGAGTGCTTTATCAGATAATTTTTTAATTTTATTATAGCAAGTGATTAAGAAACTCTGTCTGAGCCGTATACGTAAAATAGTTAAACAAAATGGGCTCTAAATTTAATTTTAAAAAATCTTGAGTGAAAAATTACCAATAAAATAACTTGCGAAACAATTTTATCAAAAAATTGCAAAGCCTTTTTGCACTTCCATTCTTGAATTTTGCAATGGTTTGCCAGAGTAAAACTTACCATAGCTCGATGTCTTTCGCTTCAAATTTGATAATGTCAAGTTTCGTCGCCAAATTTTATCTTGTACTAATTTGATTCACCATGTCTAAATATGCATGGCTGATTACAGGTGTTTACATATAGTGCTGTTCAAAATGATAAAGGTCAGATAAAAGTAACAGAGTAACATGCGAGCATTAGGATGCAGTTAACCGACCAATGACTATATAAAACTAGATAATTAGTCTTAGAGTGAGATTCGGCGTTTGATTTCCGGCATCAATAAACCTATGGCTAAGACTGCTCGTCTGCTCTCAAAATCCAAACTGCCTTTGTTGTTCCGATTTTGGAAGGAAACGCAATTTTATGCTTGGGATGGTTTTTTATTCAGTCAATTTTCGCCGATCGTAATAGCAGTTTTGAGCAAAAAAATAAAAAATTTCATTGAAGATATCGACTTCTGGACTGTGAATATAGACCATTTGGTTGCAATTAGATCCAATGGAAACAAAAATCGACAATTTTGTCAAAAAGTGTTGATGCGCAGTTCATTACACTTAAAAGTATCGATCCAGGTAATTCCACGGAAATTGTGAAAAAAAAAGATGAAAAAATGTCCGGAGATTCTTCTATCTACATAATGGACAGAAAAACTTTTTTAATCAGACAGGCTTATAATCAATCAGAATTGTTTAAACCAGATTTTGATAACCCTTTGCTGAATCAATTGATTAAAAGCAATCATTGAAAAAATTTTATTAATTTTTTTAAATAATGCTAAACACAATGATTTCAAGTAATTTAAAGAAACTACTTTGTTGAATAATTAGTGATAACTTTGAGTTTCACACATCAAATATATCCTTCAAATTTATTGTTCCGACTTTCGATACGAAAGTAACGGAATATTTGTGCGCGGGGTGGGTTTTTTTTCTTCAGACAAATTTCGACTTTTTAACTAGCCATATTTGACGGAATTTTTCAAACCATTCAAAAGGTATTGTTATTCTGAGCTAAAATTTGAAAAGATATTTCACCTGTGATCGTTTTTTGTAAAGTTATTGGAGTTTAAAGATTGCCATATTGGTCAATCTGGGACAATTCCCGTAACCAGTAAATTTTCTGAAACAGATCTGAAATAATCTTTTTCAGTTCTAAATTTCAGATCTGAAACAGGTTGTGAAATGTTTAAATAACGCTTCGATAGTTTAAGGATTGGTTACTTTATATCTATTTTCAGGTTTGAATTTTCTTTTTTTTTTGGTTATTTCAGATCTGAAAAATCTATTTCAGATCTGATATTTAATTTTTTTGGTTATTTCAGATCTGAAAAATCAATGATTTGGACTCATTTTTTGCTATTATTGGTTTCTTAGCTTCTTCTAGCAACTAGCAGGTACTCAGCAAAGTCTCAAGAAGGAGACTGCCGAAGTATGTTTCCCCAAGCATGCGGTAAACATTGGAAACGCAAAAGTAGCGCATGAAAATTAAAAATGTTACAGGTCTTCTAACATTTTTTGAAAACTTTTTAAGTCGGTTAAACGAAAAATGATGCAACTTTGGGAGGATAACTCAAAATTGATGATTTTTTAAAAGGAACTCTGTGGAAATCTGTTTCCAAACCTAATCACTCAGGGTTTTGAGCTTTGAAAATCCTTACAGAAATGAAGGAATAAAGAATTTTGCTGGGGAGTTTTTACAAATTTGGGTATTGGGTAGGGGATAAAAAGAGATTTTGATATCTTATCGTACGACATTTTGATTAATTTCAACTTCTCGAGAATAAACAAATTTTCATTCATTGTGAGGTGTAATTCAGCCGTAAGTTTAAAGCTTTGATACGCAAAAAGTGTATCAAGAGTAAACACTTTTATTGAGTAGGTTTCTCTATAGAGTTCTTTACCTAGTCGGATAGCTCTATTTTGTACAAGAAAAACCTCCAAAAAATTATGAAACAAGTAAGAGTCAACATCTTTTCCATCAATCAGAAAATCAATATGAAATTTTTCTTTTTTCTTGTAGAGTAGCTCGAGGAAGCTCAAATGATTTTTGATAGACACTTTCAAATAATAATTACAGCTGTTTAAAAAGTAATGAAAAGTTCATTTTTAAAAAATGCTGGAATCTGATTGATTGATATCGAGCAAACAGTGATACTAAAACATAACTCAATTCTGATTGTTTGATTTTCCCTCAGCAACAGTAAATAAATTTTAATTCGTTTTGACTGTCTTTACGTTAAAAGCAATCGCTCTATACTTTTTATAATCTTTTAAAATTCTTTTCAAAAATTTTTAACAATTCAGAGTAAGTAGACATAAACTATTAACTTTTTTGGGACATTTCAAATCTGCCACTTTGATATGTAGCAAGTACCAATTCCTTTATAATAAGACTTAACAACTCTCCCATTTTTTAGATGCCATCACTGAATAGAAACGAGAAAGTGCACTGTGGGGCTGTGGAAACATGTATGTTAGGGCGCATCATAGAGTCATTATACTCAAATCTTCAGCCCATTCTACGATATCGCCATTTTCAGCTTGAATGGCGTTCGGAGCATATATAGATTCAAAAGCAGCTTCCAATACCAAAGTTCAGAATAATTTATTTGTATTTCTGATAAAATGAAATTCCAGTTTGAAAGTATGTTTAACGGCACCTTGACAGAGCCGGTACATATCCTACACCATCTTAAGGATTGAATGGAACTTAATTAAACGTTTGATCTTATAAAAAAACTCTTTTCTTTCAATAGCTCTCGTGTAGTTTATTTCTGCACCGGATAAGTCAATCGCCTGATTTAAAACGAAACCATAAAATAGATTTTAAAATAGACTTTAAAATAGACTTTAACATATGTTTATTTCTATTTACAAGTTCTCCAATATCGAACCCTTGAAGTGACTTTCCTCTGCTGCTTCATCTCTCCATTCCAGACTCGAATCGCTACAAGCTTGCAAAAGAGTAGCGTTCGATACATGTCCCAAACCGCTATCGCCTTGCTCCAGGGTATCTGATAATTTAGAGAGCGCGTGGCAAGTCGGGGTGCTGTACACTTGTCTTTTCACTCTTTCCTCTCTCTGAAACTCGCAGATGAAGCAAAGCAAAATATTTCTTGATTTGCGGCGACTTGCGAAGTTTTTCTTGTAGTCTCTAAGAATCATGGCGTGGTCCAAAGATCTATTGCGGTTCCAAATCGGATGTTGAGGCGCCATTCCTCGAATCGTTTGACAATCAGCTTCATGAACAACGGTTTTATAGTCTAGACTCTTCACTAACTTGCGCATATCACCCATGAAAACTTTTTTGGGGTACAGACAGTTTGATTGTCGGTAGAGCCACGCATAAAGGTCATGCTTTAAATCAATATCATCCTCTTCAATTGCGCAGGCAAGATAAAGACACTGAACAAAAAGTCGCGGTGTGAACTGATATGGGGCTATGACGCATCTTTCTATGTAAGAGAATGCTATTGCGATCAAGTACCAATCAGTCATCAGATAACAGGGGTCAAACTTCCACAGATCCTTCAGGAACCTCCCGTCCAACAACTTCAGATATTCAAGCATCATAACTTCACGATGCGCTATCGCAGGAACGATATCAATAATGCTTTTTTCTTCTTTTATATCACAACTAACAGGGTTGTCATTGTTGTTGAAGTCCATTATGTTTACCTCGTTACCTGGTTTTTTGAATTTAAAATCATTTCTCACCTTTTTAAAGGACAATGTCTCTTGGAATCGTAACTGACCGCCCGACATTTGGACAGACGAACCGTAATTCTTCCGTTTAAAGGTAGCAAAATTTAATTTCGAAGTCGACCTATAAACCAGAGTGGGTTTTACATTCTTCGATTTGTGGACATTGTATTTCTGGATTAAACTCATAATTGCTTCTTTTCCTTTCAAAACCTTGACTAATTTTAGGAACCAGAGCGTCGAGTTTTGCAGAAATGTTTGCAGATGGCGGCGTAGTCCGAGACGCAGTCGAATTGGAGCTCTTGCACGCTTCAAAGCAATCCTACCTGTGGCTACAGCGTCGACAGCTTTCTTGACAACCATCAAATGTCAGGCTTTCTTGATTTTTGAACTGCTTTTGCCTAATTTTACAACTGAAAAATTTTTAAACTAATATTGAATATCAAGTATTCCATGTAATCAAAACTTAATAGCACAAAAAGTCGAACAAACGCATCCATAATTTTCAGTTATATCAAATTTATTAACAAATTTTGATCAATTTAGTTTTAATCAACAGAATTTTCTTTCAAATAGTTTTTGGAATAATTAGTTCATGCAAAAACAATATTTCATGTTCAGCAATCACAAGGACGCGAATCTCGTCGTTTAAATCATCCATTCTAACTTTCTGCTCGCGCACATCAGCGAAACTTAAAGTGAGTAGACGGCGCCAAAGGTAATCGAAGCATAGCATACTGTCAAAATTGGTCTCCCTCCGATCAGACACAGATACTCACTACGCAATCAAATCCATTTACTATAGATGGCATATAGCTAACCAAAATCTTCAAACATTGCAGCAATGAGTTTAACTATGAACGGACTTTCATCTTCTATCGACTTCATTGCAATCATCTAAAAAAAGTTTCTTAATTATTGTTCAGAAAATGAAAAAAAAACAGCAGTGTAGCAGGATTTGCAACTAGGAAACGCCTCTTCAACGCGCAGATTCCATACGAGGAGATGAAGAAAAAACAAACACTGTATTAATTAGAAATCATAGATTAACAATGAAATGTTTAAACATTGTTAAAACAAATTATGATGAAATAATCCAAACTTAAAAAGAAATTACAAAACCGTTCTTCGTCAGATAAGTTTATATTTATTCCACGCAATCTTTCCATAGACTGCCACTATTTTATCTTCAAGAAAAAGCTATTGAAAAAAATGGGTCTAAATTTAATTGTATTAAATGTTACAGCGTTCGCAAGTACACTATGTTCTTGCATGTTGCCCCCAATTGACACAGCTCAAATACAAATAAAACGATTTTTCTGAAGATAGAGATAGATAGATAGATAAGTCTTTAATTACCGTTTATGGGGTAAATCAAAAACAAATTGAGTTTATACGAGTTTTTAGAAAAGTTAAGATTGATAAGTTATTTAAGTTCTTCATGTGCTGCGTCGACATTTGACGAAGAAGGTGCAGAAAGAGTCGAGCGAAAACTTTGATTGAAGAGCAACGAACAAGAACTTCCAAAGGGTCGATTTTATATTCTTCATGGGGCCATGAATGTCCAAATTTAAGTTGGCTGATACATAATTTAGGCTTTCCACAGTTCTCAGAAAGTAACTGCCACATGTGGAAAATTTCCGGGAAACAAGAGAAGAAAACAAACGTTTCTGGTTTGATCTGTTTCCAGGTCTATTTGAGACAGAAGAATAATCGAAAACAATAAAATCATAGTAATTTTGCAACAAATTTAAGAACAGGATATAATCAGAAAAGATGAGATGATAGCATATTGGCAATAGCTCCAGTTGAAAAAGACCTTGCTTACAATCATGGCATCCTGTTATCCAGCGAGCAGCCTTTTTTGCAGTTATTCTAGTTTAATTAGAAAAGTAATGCTGGGATACCAAATACAAGAACTTTATGAAAAAATGGATCGTACACAAGAGATATATTGAGAATGCGTTAAAATTGTAAAATCAAACAAACGTTTTCCCACGTTTTAAAAATTCTAAACTATCTGTACAAAATGATCAAAGATCATGAAAAGTGTTATACACATCATTTTTTCAAAATTCAAAAAATTCAACCAATCAAAACTTTACAAATATTACTGGAATTATGTAACAACTATTATGAAACAATTTTAAACCTTTTGTCACAAATTTCTGAGAGTTTTAACCTTTTTTTGTTTTTACAATTTCGTTTTGTCGCTAATTTTTATGCTAACATGTAAGTAATTTCAAAAATTTTTGATTCAACCAGAATTTTTCGATTCTGGAACTATAGCCCTGGCGTCAGCTCCCTACTTCTGAACTCCCTATTTCGTTTTGTTTGGGGAATTAATTGGAACATTCTCTTTAAATAAAAAACAGCGTGACGCGTTACCAAGTTGATGGTCATTATGGTTGTTACAAGATCCCTTTGGAGAAAAAAACTCCCATATCTTTGATTTGCTCAACAAATTCTATTGATGCGTCAATTCGATAGAAGATGGGGAGAAAAAATTGAGATAAATTTAGTCTTGTCAGAGTGAAAATCGACATCGTTGAGTTTACACCACAAGGACACTCCGTGTAAGTCAGACTGTAAATTATTCAAGCATGAGCCACTGTTATCGGTAAACAGATAGGGAAAAGAAAAATTTACAACATCAGGCAGATCGTTGATACAAATTAGGAATTGTAGAGGGCTTAGGATAGTTGCTTGAGGAACGCAGCTTGATCCGCGGCCCTTCAAAGGACAGAAAACTGTTAACGCGCTTCCTCTGAATGCGATTCGACAAATAGGAACTGAGACGGATAAACGCGCTTTCAAAACCAAAAGCTGTAAAGTTGTTTGTGAAGTAAAACGTTATGAGACACAGAGCGAAACGGTTTTTGCATATCAAAGTAGATAGCACAAAAGTCTTCATTAACAATATTGCAAATATAGAGTTTATCAAAGTAATTTGAAAGTTGCGTGAAAGTGCAGGGCGGCTTTTTCATAAAACCGTGTTTGCTTTAAGACAGCCTATGCCGAACTTTGAAATACAAAAATTCAAAAATAATTTCTCGATACATAAACACAAACGTGCAAGGATAGCGCTACCACGATAGTTAGTAACGTCTGATTTTGAACTAGGTCATGTGATGAATAACATATGCTTCTTTCCCACTGTTGGGGCAAGAAGAGCAAGAAACAAAGTGTGAGAAAATAATGTGAATAATTGGGCAAAAAATATTGGCGTTCTGCAAATGGTGGAATGCCATCAGCTGTCACAGCTGAAGTATCTGGTACATTATAAAACAGATCATTAAAAACTTTTTCAGAGAAAGTTATATCGAAAAATGGGAAGGTACTAATGCCAGGTTGTTTTTAAAAAACAAAGCTTTCATGCTTAAGAACAGATAGGAAGAAAGTGTAAGACAGATCAGCTTATCCTTTTTTGATATCAGCTGATGAGAAATCATTGTGCCAGTCGGTCATATCTGGAAGTTTGACCTTGAGGATAACGAAATACGTAGTTTTGGGATGAAGTTTAATTTTTCAAAAATTCGAATTGAGCCTGTCATGCTCAACTTTCTCGCGACAATTGAAAACATCAGAAATAAAATCAGAACGACCGAATTGCAATTGCGGGAAATTGGCAGAAAAATAGCGGAAAATTGCTATTCGCAATTTCCGAGATTCTAGTAAAAAAAAACGAGAGTAGAGCTGTCCTATCTTGATCAGGGACTTCGGTACCGACAAACTTCCGGTATCGGTATCGGGCATCTAATTTGAAGTATCGGTATCGGTATCGTTTTTGCTGCTTAAGTGGTATCGGTATCGTTTTTTCTGAAAATAGCTTTTGAGTATCGGGAAAGTATCGTTTTGTATTGTATCTTAAAATAGACTCAGAAATAAAAAAACGTTTTGTCGAACATTTTTATTTATAACACAATAAATTCAAAGCAAATGCTGACATTTATTTAGAATATCATACCGAAATTAAGGTGAAAACCGAAAAGGTGAAATTAAGGAATTTAAGGTGAAAATTATAATGACCGACCGAGCGAAAACTGACAAAGTATCGGAATTTAAAATTTCAAGTATCGTTTCTATCAAAAAATGCGATAAATCCAGATCGAGTATCGGTATCGGTATCGAAGTATCGGAGACAAAAAAAGTATCGGTATCGAGTATCGATATATCGATGTATCGAACGATACTATCCATATAGTATCGTGCTCCCTGATCTTGATATAGGAGACAGATTAATCACGAGAGCAGATCGAAATCCAACTGAACCAGAGTGAACCGTCAGTGGAAAGGTGGACAACTGAAGTCTCCCAATGGTTCAGACCCCAAAACTATATTCTCAAGTTAAAACTCATTTCCTTTGATTGGAATTCATTCATAGCAAACTTCTCAAGTTATATTCAATCGTGTTTATGCTAGAGTTACTAATTAGCTTAATTACTCTAATTCTCAAGTGTGCTGTTATGTGAGTACCTAATTTAATTTTCCCGAGTGTTTTTTGTGATATTTATATTGAGATAAGGCAAGTTGTAGGTTGATTCATCTGAAATGGATCAAAGTTCCACTGTCCAATAAAAAGCAACCTAACGGATTGTTCCGACCCTGTTTTTAACGGCGTTCGTGTATTTTGGGTATTTTGAGACCTAAGTATGGGAACAATCTTAATTTCTAGAGTGGGGGGGGGTATTTTGGTAGTGGCGCTTAAGCTGTAACGGGTTTTAGTCTCATGTCGCAAGTGAACCGAATTGGCTCTGACCGTTTTGAGGTAGAAAAAAAACAAGAGATAGTGTCCCTGACTCCTGAGCCAATGGTTATAGGGCCTATTTTTCTTAAGCCTCATATGTGACCGAAGTAGACGATTATTACATAGTGTTTTTATGGTGCTCCTGGGTGTTTTCACGACATCATGACAACGGAGTCGAACCCACTTGACACAGCTCCGGGCTATATGCCCATTCTAGAGT